TGCGGAGGGCAGGGCTGGGTATAACGGGGACAGGAGCTGCAGATGGCTCTGAGTAGGTCAGGCCTGGGAAGTTCAGGCCCAGCATAACAGGGAGAGGAGCTGCAGCTGGCGCTGGGGCATTGGGCTGGGTATAAAGGGGACAGGAACTGTGACTGGCTCTGGAGCAGAGTAGGTTTGGGTGTAATGGGGACAGGAGCTGCAACACGCTCCGGGGTGGGGCAGGGTTGGGTATAACAGGGACAGGAGCTGCGGTTGGCGCTGGGGGTGCTGGTGGAGGGATATGGCTTCCTCCAGAGATGAGGGACACACCCCTGGGTGAGGAAGGTGCCACGGGCATCAAGCAACAGGAAGAGCTGGTCCTGGGTGCGCGTGCTGTTGCCCGTGTAGAGGAAGTGCTCCAGGGGCACAGGGCGGCGCCGTGTGCTGATCACAAAGATCTGCTTCTGCTTGATCCGCCTGGAGGAAGGCATGGGGGGGGGGGTCAGCACCCGCCAGACCCCCAGACTCAGCTGCAGTCCCCTGGTACACAGGCCCCCACACTGGGCTCTGGGGCGGGAGACCATGGGGGGCTGGAAAGGTGAGCATCAGCCCCCCCACGCCCAGTGTTACAACCCCCCACTGTGGCCTAGACCCCCCCCCACTGACACCCCCAGACAGGTGCCCCCTTCACCTCACAAGGCATGACACTCCCCCCATTTCTTACCCTCCCCTTCCCTTCCAGGAGCTCCATGCACTCCTCCCTGCCCCCCCAAAGACCCACAGACCGCCCAGGCCCTTCTGCGCCCCCAACCTTCCCCCAGACGTACCCGACCCAGTCGGCGAACTCGAGGGTGTTGGGGACAGTGGCGCTGAGCAGGATGATGTTGACATGCTCAGGCAGCATGATGAGGACCTCCTCCCAAACCACCCCACGCTGAGGGGGGCACAAAGAGGTGAGGCACCGACCCCAGAGACCGCCGCGCCCCCCACCAGGAACAGAAGTTGGCATGACACCCCCCAGAAATCCCCAAGCCATGCTGGGGGGCAGAAATAGGTGAGACACTGCCCCCTACCCCCTGAGGCCCCTGCTGGGGGGCAGGAGGAAGAGGGGTAGAAATACATGGGCCACTGCCCCATCTCACCTCAGCATCGTTAATGTAATGAACCTCATCAAAGATCACCCACTCCAGGTCCCGGATGGCATCTGACCCGTTGTACAGCATTGATCTGGGATGGGCAGACAGACCAACGGGGTCACCCCTGCTTGTCTGTGCCCCTCACTCCCAACCCACAGCCCCCTGCCCCCCAACCCTGCCAGTGCCCCTCACTCTCGACCTGCAGCCCCCCATCCCCTCACCGCAGGATCTCGGTGGTCATGATGAGGCAGGAGGCCTCGGGGTGCAGCTGGACGTCTCCTGTGAGCAGCCCCACATCTCCGAAAGTTGTCTTGAAGTCCCGGAACTTCTGATTGGACAGAGCCTTGATGGGTGACGTATAGATGGTCCTGCAGGGCGAGGGGGGGCATGGGAAGGGTCTCAGCTCACAGGGGTGGGGTCAAGTAAAGGGGGTGGGAT